CACAACACGGGAGTTTAAAGGGTCCTAAATTGAAGCAATGTTTTTAAAAACCCACCACTTTGATTTAGCGCCCCCGTTTAGTCTACACACGCCCTTAATTCCTAATTGGAATCAAGTAGACCGGGGTGACCAACCTCTGGCAGATCCAGCCTCTGACTTGATTTCAGTCGGCCTGCAAAGCCTGGATATTGGTGGCATTTCAGTGCTGGAGAGATACTGTGGTGAGTCCCACAAATAGCAGCAGGAGGAAGCAACAGGGGCAGGGAAGAAATGCTAGTGACAGCCAGTTTGGAAATGCCAGCCTACCTCGTACCAAGCTGCATTATTTTGGACCGCCACTCCTCAAAGGTTGCAGATTCCTGAGGTGGACAGTAGCATTTATCTTTGACTTAAAACCAGATAATTACTAAACTGGAGATCAAGAAAAAATGGGGATTTTTCTGGAGTTATGCAACATGCATATTATATGTAACGGAGGTTTCCACTGTTTTAATGTCCTCCTTATTTGGGCCGAGATAAAAAAAAAATTAATAACATTAAAAAAAAAGGCTACTTCTGATTTGCAGAGGTCTTTCATTGTTAAACTGTGCCGCTGCTGATGATTCCTTTGATTTTAGATTGCTACAGACTAAACTTTGTAAAATTAGGGTTTTCTTGGGCATCATGTTTTGCAGTATGTGTTATTCTCTTGCAAAACAAACACACTTTGTGCCTCTTAAGTGTGTGCTGCTAAAGCTGTACTTTCTCAGACAGCCAAAGCAAGAAATGAAAAATTGAATAAACAGAAATATGTGGTTCTGTTCTTGAGATGCATGTTACTTCTAGGCACTTTGTTGATTTGTTTTTAACCTCTAAATAGTTCCCTGTTAAAGGAAAATTACAGATTTGACAACTCAACAAGATTATAATTAGCATATTTCTCTTGGGTTATTTGACATTTATTTTGGCACATGCTCCAGTGCTTTGCTGAATTGGGATCTAACTATAGTATACATAATTTAAAAAAACTAACAGGAACAATTTGCCAAGGTGAAGGAACAATTAAAGAAGACTTGTGGAAGAAAGTATATTTGTCTGAGGTGGGATTCAGTGGGTGCGTCTACATACTGCCCTACGGCAGTGTAGCTATGTGCTACATCATGGGTGACTGGTGCCTCCTGAGTCTGGAGGGGCACCAGCAGCTAATCATCAACTGGGAGGGGGGCCCAGCAGCCAATCGCCGACCAGGGGAGGATCCCCCTGGCCAATTACTGACACCAGAAGCACCAGCAGCAAAACTGGAAGTGCCACTGATGCTTCTTTTGGTGCCCACATTCACCGGCTAGTGTCAATCTCAGCGGGGGCACCGGCTGATGCTTCTCTCAGTGCTCCCAGCCCCCGGCCGGCACGGGCCAATCTCAGGGGGGGCACATACCCCTTGTGCCTCCGCTACATGTCATCTGTGCACTACATCACTGTATGGCGTGCTATGGTGACAGTGGTCACATGGATCTACACGTGATCAGCAGCTACATTGCTGTAGTGGTGTGGTTCCCCAGTATAGTATACTGCTATGGTGACATAGTGGTGAAATCTAACTGTGTACCATGCACATGGTACAGTAACTGCCCCTACCGCGCCGTGTTTTAGTACTTACAGAAGGAAGTACTAAAGCATGGCACCATAGGGCAATGTGTAGATGTGCCCAGTGAGTGGGAAAGTAGGTGAATAAAGGATGAAAAGTATTAAAGGAACATGTATGGTGTGCACATATTATTTTTAATATAATTAGACTTGTGACCATTTTAAGGCATTTTTGCAGAACCTTGAGTGAAATTTTCACTTCACTGAAATAAATGATAATATCCCCACTTTACTGAAATAGCTCAGAATTTCACATCAGAAGTTAAAAAGTCTTCTGGAGAAGTCTTGGTATCAGCAGAGGGATGCTATTCTGAAGAGACTGGGTGGGCGCATCCAGATGTGTGTGGATGTTTGGTTCCCCAGGTTCAAGTAGCAGTGGTGCACCTTGCACTGCCACTACTTGTCCCTGGAGAATGCCTGTGCCATGTGCACCTTGGCACATGGCAAGTTGCCCTGGATGGGGTAGGGGAAGCTGGGGCCAGTACTGGGCTGGCCCCAGCAGCCTTACCTAGGGCCCTGGGAAACTCCTGAGGCTGCAGCCATGGTGATTCTGTTGCATGGAGCCTGACCGGCAGCCCAGCACAGCTCCAGGCAGCCCAGCTCCACTTTTCAGAAGCACATGCTGGCCAAGCATGCGTTGCACTGGGTTTTTTTCCTGTGTTATTTTTTGACCTCTGGATACTGGACTGTGCAGTGTTTGCAGTGCCACATACTGCATGCACCCGTTCTGTGTAAAACATTTGTAGCATCCATTATGGTAAATGGTGAATTAAATTAAAATGGGTTTCTTTTGCTAAGTAATAATTTTATTAATACTTTCCATCCAGACTTCCCATAAGCATCAAACTGTTTTCTCTATCCCAGGGTGAAGGTGCAGTAGTTTAAACAAACAGGGACTCATTTCTTTTTATTTTGTGATGACTGATGTATAATTAATAATTGTAGGAAAAAGGCATCTAGCACAAACATAAATCTTTCACTACTATTTGTTTATCTCTCCAGATCAGCTGTCAGAAGAAACTGCTCCTCAGAGACATGTGATGTGTACTGGTGGGCAGGTCCTTGGAGACCCTGCAGTGTAGACTGCGGCAGTGGATTCCAGTCACGACAAGTAGCCTGTATACACAGACAGAATAATAAACCTGTGCCTGATCAATACTGTGGGTGGAGAAAGAAGCCAGTGACCTGGCGACATTGCAGTGTCACTTCTTGTGGCAGTATGTAAACATTTATTTATATCTGAGCATATTAATAGGTTGTAGTGGTTTTATTTAGAGGTGAACTGTATGCAAACTATTTTACAAGCATTTGATTGCACATCAAAGGTAAAGCTGTCACGTCCCACAAACTTTTTATCATCGGTGGTGTACTTGTTTCCAAATCCAAGTCAGTTACATTTTGAAGAATTAAACATGCCTGTTTAAAATCAGGCATGTTACAGGTTTGAATTCTGCACCTTCCCTACACAGCTGTCATTGCAACTCATTCCTGAGTTTCCAGAACATGCTGTTGATTTTGCCAAACTGAGATACAGAATGAAAGTGTACAATAGAGGGGTGGATATGATGAGATGACCAGTCTCAAAACAATTGGTGACCAGAACATGAATTGAATCCCTGTTGTCAGAAATGAAATCATAATGTAACCTGATTACCATCAAGCCTGCATTTATTTGAAATTTATGATGATTGGTTTTTACTATTTATCCTTTCTTCATTATAAAGCCTTTTAATGTTTAAATATATTTTTCAGAAGGCGAATGCAAGGATACAACTCACTACTGTACATTTGTAAAGCATCTAAAGTTATGCTTGATAGACATCTACAAACAAAGATGTTGTCAGTCATGTCAAGAAGTGTAAATCTTCTATGGAAAGTTCACGATGCTGCAGTGAAGAGATGAAACGAGAGGTTCATTATATCTAGACCATAAGAAATGTATACTTGTATATAATAGTAGTAGGCATAAGAGTTAAATGGATACATGAGGTTGATGAGAAACAGCGTTGTAGAACGGTACACCAGACAGGATATTTTTCTGCAATTGAGTTTTTAGTGTATTAAAAAAATTAATATCTGTGTTAAGAAGAAAATATGTTGGCACATGATCTATAGAACTTTACAGGCTATCCAAGTATAATTTAATCAGGAAAAAAATATTATCTCAAAAGCTCCAGGTAATGCTTACTTCACTGGAGTTATTAGAAAGCCAAGTCACAAAATCCTTTAAAGAATTTTGGAGTGCAGCATCTGTTGATCCATTTTTGTTTCTCTTATTTTATCAAATATAACGTGATACTTAAATTTATAGGAGCTGTGGCTTGTAGCTATAAAGAATTTGGCAGTGACTGCATTTTCATAACTGCTTGAGCTAAGGGGTCAGTCTCACAGGATAAACTTTATTGAGATTAGCTGTCAGATGAATCCACAGCAATACATTTCATTTCTCATTCCTGTATTTACGTGCATGCAGTAAAAAGCACTGTAGATGCTGTTACAGTTTTCAATCAGCTGTGCATCTGTGTTTGAATAAATGAGGTGCCATTTTTCTTTTATTCCTATTCTTCTACTCCAGTCACTGAAATATGATCAAAGTAGTGGCAAGATTAGTCTTCTCTTCTGATTTTAAATTAGAAACAAGGCTTCCTTGTCAGAGCTGTGAATGAAACATTCGTAAGACTGATCTTTTGCAAGCCGTCAAATGGGGAACTAAAACCAAAAACTGGTCAAAGGTGCTTGTCAAGCTCTATCGGCTGAATAAATATTTCATATTTTTCCAGCCATGGAAAAAAGTAGGAGGAAAGGGTTGTTAATTATGAAAATAGACATGTGTAAGAAATCCATTTTAAGTGGTTTTCAGTCAAGTTGACTTTCCTCTTGACCCTTAAACATTCTAGTATTATATGAGCAAGGAATTTATGATCATGACATCCTTACGTAATTTTTTTTTCTGTATAGCAAATTGTGGACGCAAGGGAGCTAAATATTAGTTGGTTTTAACCCTGGAGAAGTCTGTACAGGGCTACTGATGGTGATTCTGTTTTCTTTTGTAGCTTCCACACTATTGCACAAGCTGGAGGCCTGAATACATATCTGAATTTGACCCTGTGTTAATAGGTTAATAGGTGACTTGTAATCAGTAGGCATGCTGTAAGAATGGTGTTACCAACAGTATCCCTACACCATGGGTTTGCATCACTGAAAATTAGATTAGCACTACTGTATAGGAAGTGTTTCGTGTGGACAGTTGTGTCCTAGGCTGACTGCAAAGAGAGGATATTCCTGATCATTACCTTTTTAAATCAATAATGGGTCTTGATTGTTTAAACAGTTTTTAAATTAAAAGAGCAAAACACTTGTAAAATACTTTTGTATATATTTATTGTCTGATTTTAAAAGTGCAATATTTTGTCTTGTACAGTGTTTAATAAAGATTTTGGGACATATATTTTTCTTATTACCAAAATTTCTTATTCATGTTTTTTTTCTTTGTATTTAAATTTTTTAAATGTTAACACATAGCACTACTTTATTGCTTTGATTTTGTCTTTGGCTAAGTATGCATGCTATATGGAAACCAATGCTGTAAATGTTTGTTATTGCAGCTAGTATGACATTCCTCTGGAGCTTATTTTAATGCTACTGTAGTAACCAAAGATGTCTGACATTTATCTTTCATAAACTTAGTTTTGATATTTCTGAAATAAACTCTACTTTGGTTATTGAACTTCATTTTTATACAAAGGTTATTAATGTCATTTCCACAATACCTATGCTGCCATCACTAATGTTATGTTATCATTGTATTAGTTCCATTCTTGGTTCCTTAAAAATTATATTTTTTTCTCATTTGGACAGGTTCTGGACCAGATCCTCAGCTAAACTAAAGTCTGCCTTGGACTGTTGTAGAGATGCAAATCAGATGCAAATCAGGCTTAAAACTAGTTTAAGTAGTAAGTAGGAGGCTTCTCTGGCTCCCAAGACCCAGTGTAATCATTTCTCTACGATAAGCTTCCTCACATACTTTAACTTCTTGCCTAGGGAGTACCAGTATTTTTGGCATGTCTGATGGTGAAAGGAGGTATAGCCAGAGTGTTGCTGGCCTCTGTCGATCCTTAACTGATGGAAATGTTTCTAGTACAACCATTGCTAATGGATGTCACCATTAGAGCTATCCTGAAAGTTCTGTAAGTTGCAATGAAGGGTGAACCAGTTCCAGGACCAGGAATATATGTCAAGGTACAGTACAGTCACTTTTTCTCTCCAGGGCTAGGGAACAGACATTCAAAAAACCTGAGCCTGAATTGATTCAATCTTTGCAAGTTAGTCTAATCTGGCTAGGTTAAAAAGCTGAGCTGTCTACATAAAGCAGAAGGGAGCGGGGGATAATTCCTGCTTAGCAGGGAGAAGATAGGCAGATGCTGCTGTACCTGCAAGTCTCTGCCAGAGCTCTGGCCAGGGAGGAGAGGGGAGTACCCAGCTCTGCTGGGGAGCAGAGAGCACCGCCCAGCCCAGAAAGCATGCTGAGGTTGTTTGGTGGGACAGACATTGCATAGATTGGTTTGACCCAAATCAGTCAAGTCTGATACTACATTCAGCTAGGTTTATCTCAAACCAGTTTCAGCCATTTTCAAACTGGTTTATGTGCACTGAGCATCTGTTCTATTACAGGTTTAAACCAGTTTCTTATCACTTAAACTAGTTTGTGTGTTATGTCTGTCCCTAGCCCAATTCTTCAGAAGTTGCACTAAGCAAAGATTGGCCAGATCCAGGGAAATAGCCTTATGGTTTTGTAATTATTGGGTGAGTTGCAGTACACAGCATGAAACACTTGGCTTCTTGAGAGCAGCCATTCCAATTGTAATGGCTATTAGAAAGGAGAACTTAAAAGTAAGAATGCTGAACAAGAAAATGTCATAATATTTGTATGAGATGGGAATTAAATGGCTGCTAAGGAAATTACAATGTGTCAGAGTAATCCTAGATGTTAATATTGAAAAAGGTCAGGTCAGGCAAAATTGCTCATGCTGAGGTCTTGAAAGGTGCCAACATTCTAAGCATCCATACTCTTCTCAGTCAGCATCAACTTTGGCTTGGTTTTGCAGAGAATGGACAGTGGCCATATACCCAAGGATCTCTTGTACTGAGCGCTCTTTATGGGAAGATGACCATATAGGCATCCTTATCTCCATTTCAAAGACATTTGTGAGGGAGAGATGAATGCAATGAACATTGTGCCAACCAACTGGGAGAAGACTGCTGAGGATTGAAGTGCTTGGAAACAGTCTATTAAGGGCAGAATGAAGGCTCATGAGGAAAGAAGAAACCTCAGGAAGAACCTCATGCCACATTCAAGACTGTTGGATATGAACTTCCTGTGATAAGTGCATTGGGGACTGTTAGTCAAGAATTGGGCTTCACAGCCACACTTGGAGCAGTTCAATGAGCTGATGCCTCACTTGGCACAAATCTATTCTCTCATGAGCCAGACAGATGCCTCCAATGCTGAAAAAATATGCATGGGTTCTAGTTTTATGGTGTAGAATCTATGCCACTTTTTTTTTTGCATATCCTTTAGGATAGTGGTAACTATCCATTTACCTCCATGGGCCAGATAAGTGGCATGGAATCCATCTGCAGGCTGTATCCCAACAGAGACCCAAGGCACCTGATTTGGCTGCATACTGCCCAATCCAGACACAGGCCATTATGATCAAGACCTGAACCTTCTGATCCAGCCGTGTGCTGCCCAATTTGGACCCATGCCACTGGATCCTACCACATACTGCCCAACCTGGACCTGTGCCACCAGATCCAGCCATGCCCAGCCCAGTCTGGACCTGCACTTTCCAATCTGGCTGTGCATTGCCTGATCTGGACCATTGGATCCAGATCTGTACTGCCTTGATTCAAACCTATGCTGCCACAATCTGGACCTATATGACCTGACCTGGCCATGTGCCACCCAACTTGGACCCATGCCACTGAACCTAGCTGTGAGCTGCCCTGTTCCACAGCCACCTGATTTGGCCCCTGCTGCCCAATCTGGACCTGCCCTCCCCTGATCGGACCTATGCACAAGTTAATCCAGTCCTGAGCCAGCCCGATCTGGTGTGCAGGGTCATGTTATAGGGCTCCCCACAGGTCTGAAAATCTGGCAGCATGGGACCAGCAACTAATGATGCAACTGTTCCTCCTCTCCAAAATATCCAGGCACTTGGTCCAGATGAAATTGCTGTACAGGCCAACCGAACGCATCTCTTTAAAAACTCGACAAATTATGGGCTTCGAAAAAAATTTACTTTAACTGAAAATTCAGCTCAGTTCAATCAAATTCACATAGTACAAAGGGGGTGGGGAGACTTCTGGGAATAACCAATATTGTAAGAACACTAGCAGTCTCATGTAGTGGTTATACAAAGATAACATGCCCAGCAATTCTGGTTTCTTCCTCATGTGCTTCAGTTCCTGCTTTCACATACCGTGCAGTTGATTAGTCCTTTTATCAGTGATTGGCTAACCATTACAAATTCAAAACTCTTCAGAGGTAAAATGACTTTCCTGAAGCAGTAAGTAGAAAAGCATATGCAATACTAAAAGTTATATTGTTCATGATAAGAAAGAATATGACAGCATTGTTAATCACAGAAATATAATAAGGGTTCATTCTAAATCAAGGATTCAAACAGCTTCTTACATTTTTATAAAAGATTAAATGCTTTGTAAAAAACATTTAATATCGCTTATGTTGACAGGTAATCAATTACACATATAATGTCAACAAAATATTCCTTCTGTTTACATGAAACATGGAAAAAAATAGTTGAGAAACTAAGAACTAGAATCAACAACATTTTTTTCTCTCCGAAAAATATGCTCCTGTATATGTGTACAAAGTAATTAGCAGCTTACTTTTTGTTATAGTTCACATTTGACATTTAGACTTTATCCAGTGTAGGCAGAAACTGTTCTAAAGAAAAGCAAAGGTAAGAACATGTTAGTACCATTCTAGTAGAGTTTCCTTGATCAGCATGGAAAAAGTATTTATGTTCTGAGGTCCATTTAGGATATGTTATGGGCGATGGGCCTACAGTTCTACTAACAAGATTTTTTTTTAAATCCTTTTTCCACACAGCTTAAAGAAACTACATCAAAACCATGTTTCGTAAGTAGTGTTGAGAAGGTCTGCTCATTTAGATTTTCAGTTTCATTAACTATACTGGGAAAATTTATATTGCATTTAAACTATAGGTAAGGCATATAACTGGTATCATAAATTTAATGATTTTTTTAAAAGCCAGAACAAATGTTGTAATATGTAAATGGCATTAGACGTGCATGGGATGGAACACAATGAAAACTGGAAAGCACAGAAAATTGTAGGAGCACAATTAAAGAGAATAGACTTCATCCAAAATATTCAGGAGGATCCCATTAGCACAATTTGCCTAATCTTTGATTTTTAAATTATAATTGAGAAACACTTTAAGAAATTTAATAATTTTAGAAGTACAAAAGGAACATCTGTACTTGGCCTAAAGATTCTAAATACCATATTTTCCTCATCTGTAACATGCCATAGAATAAGATATGCCCCTTGTTTTTGAAAGGCAGAATGAAGAAAAATAAATTTTGCTTGTAGCAGGTAATAGAGTAGCAGTAGCTTATTCATTGTTCTGCTTTCTGTGGTTCATGTATAGAGTTCTTCCACTTGTGCCTAGCAAAAGCTGAAGTGGCAGAAATTTCTGTTGCCATATTTCCTAACTTATAATGTACACCCCACCCCTCCAATTTCCAGTGGCTGATTTTTGGGTGTGTGTTATATGTAAGAAGATATGGTATTTCATAAGAATGTGTAAACATTTAAAATTAAAAGTTATGACACAACAGCTATTTTCTTTGCAATATGATTGCCATTGGATTCTGAAAGTGTTCTTCATTTTTAGAGTAACCTTGAGGAAAGACTTGTGATCCTGAGAATCTGTGTTCATATAGACACATCCTGGAGAAGATAAATAGGATGCCAGGCAGATCTCTTGTTCCTTTGGAATATATTCTGTCCAATACATGGTTTTATCTTCAAACCGAGCTGAACTAGGGAGAGCAACATCTAAATGTTTGAAACCTTGAGCTGGAATGATCTCATGGTAGATAATGAGATTTGAATGTGGTCAATCCATCAAATATTCCAATGGGTTTTGGAATTTCCTGATGTCTTTCAATAATTTCTTACTGGCTGCTGTCCCAAGTTTGAAAGTGTTCTTTCATAGTGATGTTTCCTTGGAAGTAGACTTTGCTCTTTCTTCCATAAGAAGCTGGTCTTACTGGGGCAACAAGATAGAGCTCATGCTGAACATACTTGTAGAGTTTAAATCCATGTTACCTGTAGGTGGAACATACTCTTTTATCTTGCAGACCACAGGCAATAAGACCGACCATGGGAGCAAGTCTGTAATGCGGTTTGGCTAGCAAGATTTTTAAAAAAGTTCCTTTTTCTATGCTGTTAAAGAAAACTATGTCAAAGCCATATTTCAAAAGTAATACTGAGAATATCTCCTAAATTAGATTGTCAGTTTCATTAACTATATTGTGAAAATGTTAATTGTGCTGAAGTTACATTTAAGGCTTATTATTGCTAATATAGATATTTAATGATTTTTTAAAAATCCAGGAAACAGCTATCATGTTTAATGCTGATGACATATGCGTGGACTGGAACATAATGAAAACTAGAAAACACAGAAAATTGTAGATGCACAATTAAAGAGAATAGATTTGATGCAAAATATTCAGGAGAATACTGCTAGCACTAGTTGTCTAATCTTTGATTTTAAAACTATAATTTATAGAGTATAAATCAATTTAAGTAATTTTAACATTTTAAACATTACAATAATAAATTGCATATTCAGTTGCCATTTGTTTTTATATTTGTTTTGAATCTGAGCTCCAAAGGTTCCAAATGTTATAAAATTGTGTAAACCAGTAAAATTGAAAGTTATGACATAACAGCTACTTCCTTTGCAATATGATTATCACTGGATTCTGAAAATGTATTCATTTCTGGAGTAACTTTGTGGAAAAACTTGTGACCCTGAGAATCTGTGTTTATGTAGACATATCCTGGAGGAGACGAATAGTTTGCTGGGCAAATGTCTTGTTTCTTTGTTGTATACTCTGTACGATACATGGTTTCATCTTCAAACCGAGCTGAACTAGAGAGAGCAACATGTAAAGGTTTAAAACTTTGAGCTGGAATTATTTCATGTGGTAGATAGTGAGATTGGAATGTGGTCAATCCATCAAATTTTCCAGTGGGTTTTGGAATTTCCTGATGTCTTTTAATAATTTCCTGCCGACTGCTGTCCCAAGCTTGAAAGTCTTCTTTCATGGTGGTGTTTCCTTGGAAAGGGACTTTGCTCTTTCTTCCATAAGAAACTGGTCTTATGGGGGCAACAGGACAGATCTCATGCCAAACATAGTCAAGATGGCTTGTGGAGTTTAAATCCATGTTACTTGTGGGTGGAACATATTCTTTTACCTTGCGGACTTCTGGCAATGAGACTGACCATGGCTGAAAACAATCCCGGAATTCAGTGCTTCCATTAAAGTGAGCATTGGACCCAACTTTGGTGTATTCAGGCTTGCAGCTTTTTGAAAGCTTTCCAGGTAGTCCTTTAAAATCATTCCGGTGGGTTGTGAGATCTTCTAAGGGTTGGCTGCTTGGCTTGTATTCTTCCTTTGATCTTATAAATTTTGGTTCCAGTGGATGAGCAACATAAGAACTGCGATGGCTAGTAACACCATTAAAAGGCACATCTGAAAGTTTGGCTACACAAGGAGGTTTAAAGCTTTGTCTAGGATTCAGCTCTCGGGGAATAAAATCATCTTGAAATGTGGTGGAATTTCCAAACTTCTCTGTAGGTGGTTGGTAGGGGTGGTCCAATTTATTACGTCCCCTTCTTTGAACTTCCCATGATCTGTAGTCATCTATATGACAAAAATAATTCTTAACCATAGAAAGAAACATTATGAAGTTCATCACTAATCTGTGGGTATTCTATCGAAAAAAATCCAGTTTCTTTTTACATTAATGCTTCCTAGCAGAACATTAGGGTTATGCAGGACATACCATTCTGTTTGAGTGTCTGCTATAGTGGCACTTCTGTTTTTTTCCAGTTTTGGGAATTTTAAGAGACATACAACAAAGTGCTACTTGGTACCACATAATGATTGTTTCTTTTTAGGAAAAAATGGTATTTGAGGTGTACAGATTCAATTTCTGTATTCTGTTGTATAAAAATACCAGTATACTGGGTATGTCCACACAGTTTGTTTTATCCTAGCACTGTTGATGAAACAAAGAGCACAGGACTGGAACATACAACTTCTTAGTCATTGAATCTGGCCAATGGGCTTTAGTATCTGCTGTTGAAGGCAACCAGGTCATATAATCCTTTTACTGAAACTGACCATCATAAAACTAAGTTAATTTTTGGCCCAGTGGTCTTAGTGGAAGGCTGTTCCAGTACCTTATTGCTCTGATTATTAAAAATATTTGTCTGTTTTGCAGACTATGGGTATTCATGGCAGCTATTGCCTATGTGTTCTTGTGCCAACATTTTCCTTTAGCTTAAATAGTTTTTGTTCCTTCTTGTGTTTCTTTTCTGGTGTATTTATAGAGAGTAACCACATACCTTTCCAGCCTTCATTTTGCTATGATAAACAAAAGGTAGCTGAAATACAGGAACATAATTTTAGTAAGGGATTTAAGACCTAAATGACAAGTATTAAGAAGCTAGTGAATTGGAATTGTTATTAAGATGTTTTCCTCCTTTAAATTCAGTAAAGCTTGATTCCATGCTTCCACAATCTCAGCTTTTGTTATTATGCTCTACTTTCTTTACTCCAAATTTTCTAACTTCCTCTTCTGATGGCCAAACCTGGACTTCATCACCTTAAATATCCTTCCCTTCTGGCCTGGTGACCTTAGCCTTCATCCTCAGAACATCTCTTGTCTTTGAAGCTTGCAGCTTTAAAAGGCCATACCTTTATCATTCAATACTCAGATATTTTTAATGTGGGCTGTGTACAGATGTTCTCCCAGGTTTGTTCTCCTGGTAGAAAAACTTACCTGGAGATGCCTGAACATATATTTCAGTGTTGAGCCCCTGAAGAGCAGAGAGCTTCCAGTGCTGACACTGTGCAGCTAGGGGAACCCTACACACACCTCTCAGCGTGCTCTGCAAACTCCCTCCGTCTGCCCAGAGGCAGATGGAAGCAGTAAACATGGCAGCTCTGATTGGCTGATTCAGACTGCCTGTGTCTCTCTGCAGCACAATGTGAAGGGAGCATGTTCTGTTCCCTGTTCAGCTGGAGCGGCAGAGTCCAGCAAGTGACACGGTGTCTTCCTGCAAAACGGGAAAGCCAAGCACCCTGGGATGCTGGAGGACAGTGGCTTCTCTGAGAAAAGAATGTGTAGAGATGTTCACTCTCCCAGGAGACTGTGATTTAATCCTGGTTGTTCCCAGGTTATTTTTCTCCTGCAGTAGCTAGTTTTGCTCTGGGAAAAAAGCCTGGACAGCCGTACACTTACGGTTTCTCCTGAGAAAGCATTAACTCTCCTAGTAGAAAATGAATGTCTGTACGTGCCCTTGGGTTGCAGAGTAGTTGCACTAGAATTTAAGTACAATGTCACATATATAAAAGATTGATTTATCTCCTCAGTGAGTCTGAAAACTGCTGAGAGTAGAGTACTACCGTTAGCCCAAGACTTCAGCTAAGTACAGTAGGAAAGTAGTTATGAAAACAAGTTTGTTAGCACATCACATCCATAACAACATTAAAAACATGAACATTTTCCTCAGTTTGACTCTGTTCACTAAAGAGTCTTGATTTGCAGAAAATGTTGTTATCTGGAAGATTTGCTTACATTATAACTAGTAATACCACCCATGTTCCCCTCGTTCCAAAACAGACATTCCCCCAAAACAATGCACATCAGTCACCCTCCTACTAGTCAAGAAAATGTGGAAAATGTTTCTCCTTTCAGAACATATCAACAGTAACTCGGAACATTCCCTGTTCTTCAGAAGTTGATTACCTAGTTCCACCTATTTGGCCCCAGTATGAGAGACCAAAGCCAGATATCAAACTCCACCTTTCCAGCAAGGCCTTTCATAATACAATCATCCTGCTGCCCATTTCTCTGTCTAAAAGTGGCATATGCTACTACCTTGATAGGTTGGAATGGTGTCTAGTTTTCCTCTTTGAATGTGCTTTCTCTCTAAAGGTCTTACTAATGTCACTGGTTGTATTTTATGAGGATTATAATCTCTCTTGTATGTAGTTCCAAGATCAATCTCTCCAGGTTTTGGTTTATACTCTTCTTGTACCTGAAGAGGTCTTTTCACAACATCATATGGAAGATAATCAGATCTGAAATGGAGATACAAACCACATTACTCAAAATACTAACCTTTTTCTGAGTGAGGCAATGGTAATTTTTCCATAAATAGAAACATAAAAATGAAATCTCTCTTGTGCAGGGACTAAAATAAGAGACTCTTTTTAAAGAGTTAAAATTTAGGGGCCAAATACAGGATAAACTGAGGAGAAGTATATTAAATTATTTATTCTTTGTACTTAAGAAAATGGTGGAATGGAATAAACCAGGTTAAAAGATTAAACTTTATCCAAGGCCAAATATTTAAACAGTGCAAATTAGCTTAAAGAGAATGGAAAGAAAGAAGTATTTGTCTAGGAATCTGTTTTTATATGTGCACATTGAGTATGTGGCACCCAAACAAATACATTATTATTGTGCAAGACATTATTTCAGCAACCAACCATTTGAATTTTGGTACTACAACTTGGTTCATGTTGTTTGAAGATAACTTGCCATGGATAAGTAAGGTTGCATGGTACTCCCTCAGTTTTTTACTTTCTGCTTTATAAAATGATCTTTTCTCTTCCTCTTTGAAAGATGTTCTTCTGCATTAATTTTTTAACAGATATTTCTGGTCCTCTCTCTCCTACATTTGCTGAAGGATTTTTTTTTAGGTCTTGAGAAGCGTTTGAATAAAAAAAAATCACTTTCCTCATACAAGTACCTTTTCTCTGATATCTACTACAGTAGTTTCAGTAACAGTAACAGAAACAGTAGTTTCCCAGTTATCCAGGAGAGATGAAGCTAGGTATCTAATATATTAAGCAGCCACCACCACATCCTCTTACAGATCTTCTATAGATGTCAATATGAAGCCCACAAATCTATTTTCTTTTTTGCATGTCACCTTCAATAGTCTGGCTAAGCCAACTATGAAACTTAATTGATTTTTGCCATTTTATATTCCAAGTTTGTATAGAAACATCTTTGAAAGGAATGAATTATAAAGATATATATCACAATGGAAATTATTGCAATAAGCATACGTGTCTTTCCTGAATGAGAAAATATGAAAAAGATTGCTTTCAAAACACATTACTTCAAAGTATTTACTTAAATGTTGTGATTCCTTCCATTTTCCCACGATGTGCTTGGTACTCCTGCTTTGGCTTAAGGCTTTGGGGAGGAGGGATGTTGCCATATTGGGGATATTTTTCCACATATTCCGTCATGAGGCAAGGCTGTTCTCCATCATCATAAATCCTTGTCGGTTTATGAGGGCAGCGGTGTTGCCTATATGAGACATTGAAATGAGATCATTTAAATTAGTTTCATTTAAGGGAAAATATGCCTCGGCTATACAATGAGGGTATAGCAATAGAAGCAAGGTCATCATCATGGGCATCTCGAAACAAATGATTTTCTACGGCAACAACAGTGTAGGTCACAGTAACATAGGATGCCAAATATTTTTCATCTCACAGACTCTCACATCTAACCATGAGGGATGGTATAATTTTTAATCTATTCCCCACGCTGATGTGCTTTGTTCCAGTCATTACTCTGCCAAGAATTTGCTTATGTCTTTCCTGCTATTATTATTCTCACCTACATAAAAAAAACTCAATTTAATAACTATCTTGCCCGACTTTTGTGATAATTTTCCTTTCCCTTCTAGTTTTCCTTTTTCTTCTTCTGTATATTTATGCTCAATTCATCATGTATCATAACAGGTTCCCATCTGCCTTTTTTCTATAATTTCAACATTTGTTGGTGCTAGAACTGTCTGATTCATAACCTGCAGCTCTCTGGAACATGCTTCCTGAATCTTAGGGTATAAATGGACAAAAAATTAGTTTGTTTGCAGGAAGTGGAAGCTAAGCTGCTGTACGTTAACTATTTAATTTTGGGGTATACTATTCCAGTTTACCTTCCACTTACAATTGGAATGAGGCAGATACACTAAATTGATATGAAAGTAGAGTTACCATCCCATGCTCCTCCGATTTAACTCTGGATACTTTTTCCCTTAATTTCTCACTAAGATTCTCCATGGGGAGGCAAAGCAGCATGGCGCACCAGGTAGGTGGGTGGGCAGGCACCACTACTGCTGTGTGGGACAAAGGCGGGCAGGCTGGAGCAGGTGCCATCTCACCCATGCATGCCCAGCTGGCTCCTCTTGAGCAGTGGCTGGAAGTGGAGAGTGGGCTGGACTGGGCACCACTCCTCCTGCCTGGGGCAGGTATTGGTTGGGGAGGGAGGAAAGTACTGCTGTGAGTGCAGGCTGTGTGTGTGTAGCACCCCCTGACCATGGTGCTCTGAGTGGTTGCCCATACTGCCCACCCGTAAGGCCGGCCTCAGTTATATTTTTGTTAATATGCATGTTGTTATACATTGGGTTATATCTTGTACGAAATGACCCTGGTAATGTTGGATACAATTAAAATGTATGTTGGGATTTTCAAAGAAGCCTCAGGAATTTTGATTCACTTTCATTTACATGGCAGTCTATTTTACATCTCTCTGGTACAGTTAAGGGGCCCTGGTTTAAATAAGAATCAGGCTCATCTTGCTTAATCTCAAACATACTTAAAAAAAACATGCAACTTGCATGGAATAGCATTACAGACATAAGCCCGTGTTTTCTATCACCCAAAAATATGCATTTAAAGTCTTTTGCTTCACCACTGACTGGCTGAACCACTGGTAAAGAAGAAACACAGACTGCCTGCATACATGCTCAGAAAAGGGG